GAGAAATGAGAGAGAAGAAACTGTTAGCATAGAACTTACGGTGTAATAAGCTAATCTCGTAAGTAGTTACTCATGATTTTGATGTTTTCTCGAGTCTTGTGGCATTGTAATTACATTAAACAATTTTTCAGGGTTTTTTTTAGTTTTTAATGAACACTTTAAATTTCGAAACATCCCCAAAATAAGGCATACTTCATTATCGTAGGTACTGAAGCTACTACAACAGTGGTGAGTCTAGGGAAAAATGGCCTGACGGAGCCCTTCCCTCTTTAGAATTTTATAGCTGCTAGACTGGTTGCAGTCTTAAGTCAAGTAACCTTAGTCAGCCTTGGTATAGGGTAGAGTTGAAGAGAGGAAATTAATTCACACCTTTCCCAAGGTGCGAAAGTAAATGTAACACTTAACCAAAATCGGAAACCGGGCAGCCGATTTCCCACTGCGAGTCAGTAACCGCTACACTAAATGAACATTCAATGCCTACATCCATCCATTCAGGTTGACTGTAGTTGGGATTATTAAGCCAATGCGAACGATTCTTTCTGTATAGAAAGCGGTTCGTATTCAGGAATCAGAGAGCCGAATTTGAATTCTAGTCGGCTCCATTACATTCACTAAGATATTAATAACTTTGGAAAAGGTATCAATCCTTTTCTTCCTCCATCTATGGCTAAATAGCAGAAAGGACTGGGTTCTATATCTATGAGGGGCAACCTTTCTAGGACAAAGTAACTCTGAATTCAAACCTGTACTTAGCCCTTGCATAGCACATACTGTATAGCTAAAGAAAGAATCATTTACATTGGCTCGATGATACCGAGTACGGGCGAATGCCTATATACTACGCTATTATTCTTGCGAAAAATTTCTTAACGAATCTCATATTATAATCGCCAATTTGGAATGCTTAATATTTTAGGCATCCGAAAATTAAAACTAATCTGCACATTTTCTTATTATTGTTCAGGAGATGTGATTAAAGAACCTTATATTATTATAATCATAAGTATTCAATGCCTGCTATTTTTAGTTATCCGAAAATTAAAATATATATACTCACATATTTATTAGTCTTAATGAAATGTGTTTATCCAATGTGATCATACAATTTTTATTGCTTAATATTCGTATGGCATTCTTCTGTAATCTTTGATAATCTGAAACTTTTCAAGAGCTAGTGATCGTCTTTTTATGTTAGATTTTAAAGCTTTACTATCATCTAATTATGGGCTTTATTTCAAAGGCAAAACCACCACTCTTTAAGTGCTTTATAATTCAAATTAAAGAAAAATATAGAATCACTTTGAATTGTTGAAAGTGGTCGAAATGATAGCCATTAAACAGAGAAACACTGGAATTGCAAACATCATGAATCAATTCATTTCGTATTTACGTGCATTCTTTTTCAATAATAGTTTTATTTCGTAGATTTTGCACAATAAATGTAATGGTTGAGTAGGCTCCATAATAAAATCCCAGTTGTGTGAGGTCTGGTGAGCACAATAGGTATTCATTGTCACCTATTCACACAATAAAGCAATTTGGCAGATTTTCATTACGAGAGACACTCACATCACGAGGATTCGTTGAGAGAATAGAATAATGTTTGAATTAAACTTCCACAATGAGCTCGCTTCAGAAAGTGATAGACACTTGATTTCCAAATGACTATTTCACAAGCCGCTTGCCGAATAGATCTCCCTGGAGATTGATGGCAAGTTTCCAGCAGGCTTTCTTCTTTTGTAGGGCTCGTAGATGCCGATTGTCTTCTGAAAATTATGCTTGTCAATGTCTGTGACACTTCTTTCTATTTCAAAGTTAACTCTAATGCAAGCAAAGATAAATATTTGGACTCTGCGTCAATGAATTTTGTTACAATCTTTGTCCTTCAACATAGTTATCAAACTACCAGTAGCAATTTTCGTTTACATCTGTTCTTGATAAAAGATATTGAGTTATGTGCAGGAAAAGTGTATAAACATTTGGGAGCCAACACGCATACGCACACGCACATACGCACGCACACACACACACACACATATATCCTGTGGTATTATATTGTGATATATATATATATATATATATATATATATATATATATATATATATATATATATATATATATAATTATGCATTTAAAAATATTTTTTCGCTTTAAGATGGAACAGTGCTTGGTACTTAAATTCAGTTTAATTCAAATAATTATATTGAAGTTTTCGGCTCTTGTTTTGAAACATGAGAACTCTTATGTAGCGATGGAATCATATTTTTAAATAAATAATTATATTTATGCTCTACTTTTGTATCGAGCACTATCTTTTAAAAATAACAAAAAAATACTAAAGAACTTTGGATTATTTACCTAACGAGTTCTTTCCTAATTTCTATATATTTTTACACACACATATATATATATATATATATATATATATATATATATATATATATATATATATATATAATATCACAGAATGCATAAACAAACACTGTTTAGTGTTCTTTTTGTTTTTTTTTAAAGAAAGCGCCTTTCGCAAATGAGCAATGGTAAGAGGAAAAAGAATAATGGTACCAACATTCATCCTCTGGCTTCCATCTTCAACGTCTGTACAAGAACCATCAAGAGAACGGCGAATAAATTTACAAAGAGAGAACAGTAAAGAGGAAAACTGGATCAGGACGTCACAACAGGAATGAGGATCATACTTTTAATTTAGAGCTAAAGAGATCATTTGAAAAGATCCAACGCAATTCATAAGACCTTTGGCACGTGAGAGAGTAGTTTCAGCTATGACAGCCCAAAGAGCACTGAAAAAAGACTTGAAAATGAAATCGTGCGTGAAACATGCGAGGAAGCCTTTCACTCCAGAATACATAGTTAGAAGGTTAGAGTGGTCGAAGAACATCTTGAATGAACTGTAAAATGATCCTGGTATAATAAAAACATTATTTCAATCCTTCATGAGCTTCCGTTCTTTAGCTATGGTTAATTAATGATGAACATGTCATTTTCGTTTATGATTTCATTGCGATTCTTCTGTTAAGCTCGAAGAGTAATTATACATTCTTATTGCTCAAAGTAGAGTCTAATAGTGTTATAAAAACTACGGAGAATTCCAGTAAGGTATCTTTAATCATTTCTAAAGTACAACGGTTCAGTGCTTAATCTAATATTTCAATAATTTTGCTTTTATACGATTTATCCAATTTTGCAGTTACGCCAGTATATATATATATATATATATATATATATATATATATATATATATATATATATATATATTCGCTTGAGGATGAAATGGAACTAATGTCTTTAATTTATTTACAACATTAAATTCGAAGCTTTCAGCTTCCTTTTTTGAAACATGGTTAGATCTGTGTAGCTAAAAAACATATTTTAAATTTAATTTATAATATTAATGCTCTGTAAATTTACATTGAACACTATTTTGTAAAAATAAAATATCTATAATAACACCGGATTATATATCTTACTTTTCTTTTTTCTTCATATATATATATATATATATATATATATATATATATATATATATATATATATATATATGTGTGTGTGTGACTAGTGTACATATTTATATATCTGTTTATATTTCTGAGATGTGGTATTATGTACACTATTTTCATTATTCATATTGTCATCATCTTGTATGTTCCGGCCTTCTTTAGGTGGTTGGAATGTCAAACTGAATCCTTTATTTCGCACACTGGGGTAGTTCCACCTGCCATGTCTAATGGATGTCAGTTATCAGTTATCTCCTGTTAATTCCCCTCTCTAAGTTCTCCACCGCCTTAATCAGGTATTGAACTCACAATCTTTGGGTCCTTTCACTGGATCGAAATAACGCCTTTATGCACTGTGTCATGTGTCCTCAATGAATTTCTGGGTATTATAAACCTAATGTCTTCAGCAACCATTTTTACTAGTTCTCATATTGCAATTTTGATGTTATCATTGCATGTTTTTTTACCAGAGATCATATTGCAATTTTTTTATTCCACTAGATAATCTGATGGAGATGGTGACTTTCTGTACACAAACAAAACCCTTCGGAATGGGATCACACATATATCGACAGGTTGAGGGCTTAGCAATGGGCTCGCCATTATCACCAGCAATGGCGACTATATACATGGAATACTTTGAGGAAATGGCATTAGAATCTATAAATAGACGGAGAATTCCAGTAAGATATCTTTAATCATTTCTAAGATGCAACACTACAAATCTTAATCTAACAATTGGACCTTCTGCTGCTACACAATTTGGACAATATTGCTGTTACACCCGGTATATATCAATTTAAACATTATTTTTAGTGGATACCCATATTTGAGTAGACGCTCAGTTTATTTTTTTTAATCAGTATATTTATTATCGTCTATTGGATACGACGTGCTTTAGACCGACTCAGCCACGAATCGGTGTCACCGATCAAACAATGTCGAACAGTGCGTTTTTAAGCGCAATCCTGCTCGTCTTAGATTCTTGAAAATTCATATCTGTTCCGTTACATATTCCAAGCAATAAAATCCATTACTTTTTTAGAATGAATATATATATATATATATATATATATATATATATATTATTATTAATATTATTATTATTTTAATTCAAAGAGATCAAGCACTTAAAATCCCATAGGTAAAAACAGCAGCCCATGAAATAAAAATTATTACCTCTGGGATTTTAAGTGTTTGATATTCTTTTAATTTAATAATAATAATAGTAATAATAATAATAATATATATATATATATATATATATATATATATATATATATATATATTCATATATTCATTCTAATTTTGATATACTTTAATTAATAATAATTTTGCTCTGTCCTTTGACATAGAGCTCTCCCTGGATCTATATCCTCCTGGAAATTCCATACGGATTGCTATATTGTATCATTACTATATATATATATATATATATATATATATATATATATATATAATTGCATTAATATACATGTAAAAAC